TCTGGTGATTCCATTTAAATTTCTTTCATATATGTATATATTTTAAGAAACTTCTACAGTAGTAGGTTTCCATATGATGCCTCAAGTGCCTCTTCTTGTTAGTTGCAACTCCCTGTATTCCTACCCTTGCTCCTCTCTTCCATCCCACTCCCTTTTTAATGTTCTCACTCCAGGGTCCCCCACTTGTCTCTCCATAACTGTATATTCTATTTCCCCTTCCTTGGGGGATCATACCTTCTCTGCTAATCCCTTACTCTACACCTGAGCTCTGTGGCACTATGGATTGAGACATGCCTATCAAGTGCTTAAATCCTGACATCCGCATATAAGAGCAAACATACACTATTTTTCTTTTGGGGTCTTTTTTTTCTAGAATTTTAGTTCAATGATTTTATGGATATTTTCATCAATATCCAAAATGTTACACACACACACACACACACACACACACACACACACACACTCCTTTCCCTCTTGTATTGGTTGCTTTTCTTGTTGATGGGAATGAATACCCAACAGAAACCACTTAAGGAAAGAAGGGCTTGTTTGGGCTCATGGTTTCAGAGGGTCCAGTTCATCATGGGTATGATAGCCTACACTCTTTGGGTTTTTGTTGTTGTTATTGTTGAACAATATTGTGTGGTTTGATATTACTTGAAGAAAGCAAAGTTTGATTCCTTTCTTTTCATATACTTTAAAAAAATTATTATGTGTCCACTTGTCTATGAACAAAGAACTTTAAGACATACATGAGAGTAAATTATGACTTCCCTTGATGTGACCCTGGTTTTCCATTTAGAATGGAAATATCTGTATTTTAAAAGATACAAATATTTTTATAGTCAGAATTTCCTTTATAGTCTACAATTTATCTAACAGAGCCAAATGATGAAGATTAATAATTGGTTTTTGTTTGTATTTAGACATTTGTTCTCCTTAAAAGCAAGCCCCTTAAGGAAGACACAGGATCTTCAACATTCAGAAAGATGTGTTTTTATTTAATGTTTAACTTATTTTAAACTATAAGAAATAACAAGAACATATGAAAGCTAAGAGTATAAATATACTACTCTTCCTAGCACCACAGTTTTGCTATTCCTGTCTTTCAGTTATGATTTAAATAGAATAGCTTCTATAATGTACTTTTCCTTATGTAATCTTTTTTAAAAATATATCTTCAAATGATCATTTATTAGGAATTTAGTCTATGTTTTCTTCATTCTGATTTTTCTTTTTTTAAATTTTTTTATTGGAATGAGAAACAAGATTGTTTTACATGTCAATTCCAGTTCCCTCTCCCTCCC